AATCAGCAATAAAACTGTTACAACTTTATTAATACATCATTTTAAAATACATATAGATATAAAAGAATACCAGAACACTCAAGCTGGGGCCTCGTCCTCCAGGTACTACTGAAACAAAATGAAAAAAAAAAGGAGAAGGAAAAAGAACAGTTAGGTATACTGGCTGTGCAGGTGTATAAACACAGGACAATTGCCTTATATTCTTAACAAAAAATAACAACTCCGAGCTCTCCAGCACCTGGTTCCACACACCCAAGACTGTACACCAAAACTCCACACGACACACACACACACACACACACACACACACACACACACAGACAGACACACACACGTTACTGAACCTAAACAATAATGACTTCAACACTTCAAGCTAGGTACAAAAGGGGTGAAGGAGAGAGGAAAACTCCAAGAGGATGACCAGTCAACAGGAGAGAAACCACATGCACCAAGATACTCTAAAGAAAAGGAATCAATTAATAGCAGGCAGATTATATACTGCCCAAAACCTGCACTTAAAAATCACTTACACCACAGCCAATGTAGCTGATTAAACCATAATCAAAAAGCCAACAAACCAACAGAAGAAAATAAATAAAAACAAACCACTTAGAAATTGACTTAGTGGTTGCAAGAAACACTAATTTACACACACAAAAAAAAACCCACACACACAAGCTAACAATATAGATCCAAGAAAATAAGTTTGACAATTAACAAAACTTGAAATACCAAAATAGTAAATAAAGAAAAGTAAAATAAATAAAGAAAATAAATCAAATAGAAAATGTGACCCAAACGGTCTGGTCTAGGCAAAACAGCAGTGGCTTCAATAAAAGGCTCTTGATACTTGGCACGTGGGACGCCACCTAGGCCGGCCAAATGGCGACGCTTAATCCCCCCACTAATAAGTGCACGTACCTTTAAACTGAAGTTACCAGTGACAGCAAGAACGGATCACATAGTCATCACTGTCAGGGGTAGTAGATGACCATGCCCTGCACCAGAACCTAATCACACACTCTAAGTCTCATACTTAAAAGTTATACCCAAGATCGCACTACATCCATATGAGAACAATGAATAAATTACCTTTGGACACAGATTTCCAAACCCACCCGATTTCAGGCACAGCAGCATACACTCACCAAAGTAAGGGACATATCCACCATTAATCACGGTTACATTATCAAATAAGAGACCGTGGGTGTAGTGTAGCACCAAAAACATACCTCAAAGCCAGTACTGCCCATGAGAACACAAAATAGCAGCTCCAAACCCAGCGTATTGGATAAATGCTGGTGCTAACCGCTAATGGCGTGGCCTACTGGGGAAAGGAGAAAACACCTGTATTCAGCAACCACCTTGAGGCAAAACATCCCCCAGACGAGCTCAAACACAGAGCGTGCTGCCGTGTCTATATACACTGGCGCTAATTGCTAACACCTAGCGTGCAGGGTAAGGGGAGGAACTGCTCCTCAGCACTACGGTGGCCGCCCAAGTCCATAAATGACTGATGGCAAAAACAGCTCTACCTGTTACACATATTTCTATGGGAGTAAGGTCAGGACATTGACTTGGCCATTTCAAAACATTAACTTTATTCTTCTTTTACTATTCTTTGGTAGAATGACTTGTGCGCTTACTGTCATTGTCTTGCTGCATGATTCATGTTCTCTTGAGTTTCAGCTCACAGACAGATGTCCTGATATTTTCTTTTAGAATTTGCAGGTATAATTCAGAGTACATTGTTCCATCAATGATGGCAAGCCATCCTGGCCCAGATGCAGCAAAACAGGCCCAAACCATGATACTACCACTAGTGTGTTTCACAGACGGGATAAGGTTTTTATGCTGGAATGCAGTGTTTTCCTTTCTGTGCTTCTAAACATAACGCTTCTTATTTAAACCAAAAATATCTATTTTGGTCTCATTCATCCACAAAACATTGTTCCAATAGCCTTGTGGCTTGTCCATGTGATCTTTAGCAAACTGCAGACAGGCAGCAGTGTTCTTTTTGGAGAGCAGTGGCTTTGTCCTTCAACTCTGCCATGCACACCATTGTTGTTCAGTGTTCTCCTAATGGTGGACTCATGAACATCAACATTAGCCACTGTGAGGCATTTAGTTGCTTAGAAGTCACCCTGGGATCATTTGTCACCTTGCAGACTATTACACAACTTGCTCTTGGTGTGATCTTTGTTGGTCGACCACTCCTGGGGAGAGTAGCAGTGCTCTGGAATTTCCTCCATTTGTACACAATCTGTCAGACTGCATGTTGGTGGAGTCCAAACTCTTTAGAGATGGTTTTGTGACCTTTTCCAGCTTGATGAGCAACAACTCCTCTAAGGTTCTGAGGTCCTCAGAAAACTCCTTTGTTTTGCCAAGATACACTTCCACAAACGTGTTGTGAAGATCAGACTGGGATAGAACCCTGGGGCCCTATACAGAAAATTCGTATCCTTTTGTTTTAACTTAAGGTCTGACAGGTCAAGATAAGATTTTTCACAAATTCGTATTACAGAAGCAAATCTTATCTTGGTTTAAGAATCTTATCTTACAGCATCTTTTCTTATCTCATGGTAGGAAATCTTAACTAACTTGATTAAAGTTGACAATCAACTGTCATGTCTGTTACCTAGCAACCGACCATACATGCACAGCTGAAGCGTAAACACATAATCAAGTTAGTTAGCCAAACAGCTAACAATAGCTACTGTTACTGAAGTAAACAAGGTCGAATGAAACTAAAGCGCGATAGACTGAAAGTTAAGAATATTGTGTCAGCGCTTCGGTTTATTCAGAGCATGGCCGCTCCACAGTTTCAGTTTCATTTCCCAAACGCTTTAGTGCTCTGGGATTTATCTTAAAGTTAAGAAAACAGTTAACACTGCTAAATTAACACCGTTTTCTAATCTGGAAATAAGATAAGATTATAGTCTTAATAACTGTTGTTCTGTAATGGCTTCTGTCCTAACTTCAGTCTTAACTGAAGTTGACATGACAACAAAGCAGATCTCAGACCTGTTCTTTAAATACAGCCCCATTTCCAATAAAGTTGGAATACTGTGCAGAATGCCAATAAAAATAGAATGCAATGATGTCCAAATCATGTAAACCACATTTTTAAAGGAACATACTACAAAGACAACATATCAAATGTTGAAACTGACAAAATTTATTGTTTTTTGAAAAATATATGCCCATTTTGAATATGATGCCAACAACACGTTCCGAAAAAGTTGGGACAGGGTCATGTTTACCACTGTGTTTCATTACCTCTTGCTGCAACCGCTATTCCTGGTGGTTGCTAACGTGTCAATAGCCATTTATTTGCTGTGGTTTGCCAGTCAGATGCTGTTGGTGTGTGTGTGTGTGTGTGTGTGTGTGTGTGTATGAACTGTGTGGAGTATGAGCTGTGTTTGCAGTGAGTGATGTATGTAGGGTGGGTGGTGAGTATGGAATCTGTAAAGTGTGTTGGGTGTGGTGTGTGATGTGTGTGGAGTGTGTGGTGTGTTTCTTGTAAGATGGTGATGTGGATTGTCCAAAAACCTTTCGGCTCCAGAGTGTTTACTGACTGTGGCCTGTGGTCTTGATCTAAGAGGATGATGATGTAAGAGTGTCCTGGTGGTTGTGATTTAAGTTGGGTGCACAAACTTTTGCACCCTAATCATTTCTATTAGAAAGCTGTATAGAAGAACAAAATTCCTGATCTTACCGATAATTCCAGAGTTGGAACTGCGTCGATATCTTGAAAACTGCATGGCGATTCGGGGACAAAACAGTACCAAGAAGAAGAAAGATGAAAAGTGCACCTCCTGATAACAGCAGTGTAGATCACTATCACTAATAAACATGTTATTGTTCATACAGCCTCACTGTTGTTTATATTACAAAGTAGAACAGTTTTACTGCATGATTACTCAGATTTTCACTCTAATATTTTTACCGTAACACATTTACAGTTCTGTGTTTGGTTAGTTTAGGCTTTATACAGTTTTTAGTCTGTATCTGGTCTTTCTCACTTCCACTCATGTACTGGAAAGGCTCCTCTACTGATGTGACCCTTTCAACACTGTCAGCAACTCAAACTACACCTGCTTTATATAAAAACTGTGTAAATATGTTTGTATAGTTTATTAAATTTAAGGTTTTTGAGCTCACTTTTACTTACAAATATCAGTGGCTGTTAAACATCACTGAGAGCTGTTTAAGTTATTTGTTTTTATCTGTTCAAAAATAACAAAAATATTATGTTACTATTTTTTCAAACTGCACTGTTTAAAGCTCAAACTATTTTATTTTTGTAATGTTCTTTTATTTATTTAATGTTTTAAGTTGTGAGCTACAAACATCAAATTTATGGTAAATGAATATCAGCTCCAAATATCGTTTATCAATGTTCCTGATTACTAATGATCAGTATCTGCCCTGAGAAACCACATCAGTTGACAACCCCCCCACAAAGAGCTTTACAATTCCACTCTCATTGATCACAGACACAGTCAGAATCAGACCACCATACAGTGTATCTCAGCAACTGCACACATCCAGAAACACCCCAGACCCCTCAAGGATAAACAGACCCCGTCAGACCCCTCAATCACAGCCCCGTTCACTTTCTCACCAACACAACTCAAAATGAACCACAAAACACACCAAAAACAATAAATCAATAACTGGACCAATGGGGTTTCAGATGAATGTGTTTACAGCTGTTACACACAGAGGAAAGAATGAAAACAGAACCTCAAACTGATCACACATACATATACTATTTATTTAACTGTGTGTGTACATATATTACATGTTTTTGTGTGTATGTTTTTTTATAGATGTATGGTTTTACAGTTGGGCAAATGTAAAACAGAGACAAAGAGAGGGAGAGAGGTAGACAGAGAGAGAGAGAGAGAGAGAGAGAGAGAGAGAGAGAGAGAGAGAGAGGAAGGTGAGAACATCTGAATGAATATATTAATGTGTGTGTGTGTGTGTGTATTTAGAGTGGAACATGGAGGTGAGAACAGAATCAAACCAGGACTGAAGAAATGTAAGTACACACACACACACACACACACACACACACACACACAAACACACACACACATTCACACACATACTTGTTTTTTGTGAAAAGACACAAGGACACGTGACATAAACCTACAAAATTGGAACACACCTTTCTGAGAGATCTAGACATGAAAACAGTTCTGTGTTACAGAAAGTTCATATATTAAGTTCATCAGTTGATATTTTATTATCTACCGTCTTTAAGAGGTCTGAACTTTCACAGTGCGGTCAGGACAATTTCCAGTTTAAATATCTGGACATGAAAACACACACAAATTTCCTGTTCCTACCACACTGTAAGGACATTGTGAAAACTAACGACACATACCGTTCTGACTGTTAAATCAAGAACAGGAACAAAAAACCTCCAATACTTTAATAATAATGATGTGTATAAATGATGTGTCGTGACGCTGCGTAATAAGGCATTATGTAAAGTGAATAAGGGATTTATCAGGTATCTGAAAGTCTGAAGTTTAATCAGTGACTTCCTCTGATGTTAACATATTCTTAAACCGTTTCATTTTAAATTAATTACCTTTATTTGTAAAGGCACTCATGATTGCCTGGCTCAAAGGATCAGCTCTGTCCCCTTTTTCCAAATTTTGCTCACAGCCTAATGTGAACCACACACTAAAGACTTTAAACAGACTTTTAAAAGACTAAAGTCTGACACCCTCTCACACCTAAAGACAATCACAGAGCTTTTAGTCACTGACTATGATTTTGCAAAGACGGAGGATCTTGCTGTGTCACTATTTGCAAGACTGCAACTAGGTTTTTGAGAGTATTACCCATCATGCACCTGGTGGAAATTAAACAAGCAGAGAAACCATTTTTCCTTCTACACTCTATAGTGGTACAAGTGGAAAGATATGTTGACTGGGCGTGTAAAGATCTGGGGCTCAGAGCAGTTCACTGTAGAACTGTATATTCTGGCAGATCATTACCCAGAATTTTATTAATTTACCTGTAAAATGTGCAGTTACTTTATTCAACAAAGATTTACACACCAACACAACATGCAGTGATTCAGCACTGTTGAGTGGATATTATGAATTAAACCATAAAAAACTAACAAATGAAATAAGAAGCCACTGTAACTAACAGCAAAAAAAAAAACATTGATGCATCTTCAGTAATGTCATCTGCACATTTCCTTACATCACTGTTCACTCAGTGAACTTGAAAAAGTAAAAAGATCCAGCTTAAATTTTTTAGATTAATATGTTTTAATAAAAATGATTGTTTTAAAGTTCAGGAGATTTGCCTTTTGCCTTCAGCCTCTCACGCATGCATTTTCTCTCTCTCTATCTACCTCGCCCGCTCACTATTGTGCGGCTCTGGCACGTCACTATTTACATGAGCCAAGACTTAAAACTTACGATAATATTAAACACGGTTGATTTTGTTGTAGCATCAAGATGAGAAAATGACTGAATTAAGACAGCCGACCCGACCTCCTCACACTAAACGATTGAGATGACGTGAGCGCGACACGACTCTAGCAAAACTCTAATCATTTTATTCCAACCCTAGAAATTTGTCTGTCATAGTGAAATGTCTTGAAAAGTCGTTTGGTGTGAGGCCGGTATAAATGTTTTAAAATGTAAAACATCAATAATAAGTTAGCTGGTACATTTAATAAATGTCATTCTTTCTCGTAGTCAGTAGTGTACACCCTGAAATAACTGCTGCTCATCTCACTCCGACCGGCCTCACGCTGGTTGCCATGGTAACGTCTATACTAAGCAGCAATCTATGCATGCATTATAAGTTTGGATCAGATTACTTGTAATGAGCATGTAAACAGACTGGAGAAAATCTTTGCATGTAAACATAGACACTGAGTGAGATGACATTCAACCAAACATTACTGAATAACTTTCTCTAAGCACTAATTTCTCAGACAAGCACAGAACTAGTTATTAACTAGATATTAACTAAACGTGTCACCCTTTGCTATCCTGGAGGTTTGCTAAAAGACCCTGTGTACAAAAGTCCTCCTTAACATATACTGCTAGTGCTTCACAGTTTTTCAGAGTTTTTGTCCTTTGAATTGTTTTATACTTATATTTTCTTATATCTTACACCACATGTACACTGACTGACCACTTCATTAAATCCTTCTTCTTGTATCTACACTCACTGTCCATTTTATCTGCCCATCTTACCATATAGGTGCACTCTGTAGTATATGGTAAGACTAATTACAGACTTTTCTAGAATTAGCCAGTTCTTCAATGGGCAGGACCCCCGCAGGACCACCATAGAGCAGGTATTATTTGGGTGGTGGGTCAGTGACACTGACGGGGTAGTGGTATGTTAGCGTGTGTTGCGCTGGTGTGAGTGGATCAGACACAGCAGTGCTGCCAGAGTTTTTAAACACTGTGTCCACTCACTGTCCACTCTATTAGACATTCCTACCTTGTCAGTCCACCTTGCAGATGTAAAGTCTGAAACGATAGCTCATCTGCTGCCGCACAGTTTGTGTTGGTCATCCTCTAGTCCTTCATCAGTGGTCACAGGACGCTGTTGGCTGGATATTTTTGGTTGGTGGACAATTCTCAGTCCAGCAGTGACACTGAGGTGTTTAAAAACTCCAGCAGCACTGCTGTGTCTGATCCACTCAGACCAGTGCAACACACACTAACACACCACCACCATGTCAGTGTTACTGCAGTGCTGAGAATGACCTACCACCCAAATAGCACCTGCTCTGTGAGAGTCCTGTGGGGGTCTTGACCACTGAAGAACAGGGTAACAAAGTATGCAGAGAAACAAATGGACTACAGTCTGTAACTGTAGAACTACAGAGTGAAACTATATGGTCAGTGGAGCTGATAAAATGGACAGAGTGTAGAAACAAGTAAGTGGACTTAATGAAGTGTCTGGTGTGTGAACGTCTACAGTTATTATTTTGTAAAGCCAGTTTATTTTTGAATAATTTTGTTCTCCTTTTGTGCTTCTAAAGTTTCTTTTGTACTACTTAAATGTTTAACCTGTTAGCACAAGCACTACAAAGGCTACCAGGTGACTCCACGGCCTGCACAGCATTAACTAAGGAGCTGAGACAAAATAACCAATCCTAAGAATGACCACCTGCTCAGTATAAAACAATTTCCATAATGTGCTGGAATACGCATATCAGTGAGTTACAAGTATCAACCAAACTGTATTTATATGTTTCTAAAACAACACGACACTCAGATGTTTAATCCAAGACCTTTATGCACCATTTCTTTAGCTCCTGTAAGAGTTAATGCTAATGTTATGATGCTATAGCTGTAAAGAAAATCTTAAAATACTCTATAAATTCTAGAAACTGTTGTGTGGCTAAACATTTCCATTCAACTTACTCATATCATATAAACATATCACTTCATTTGTAGCACTGAAGATTACATTCATGATTTAAAGCTCAAAAACACCTTAGAGAGTAATTTGAGGATAAATACCTTTATTTTATAAACCTGAGTTCTCCAGATCCACTTTCTCCATAGTCACACGTCATCTCATCACCTGGTTGACTGTCATGAATCACAAACACAGGTGTGGTGAATCATCTGCACATATTTTTTTGCCTTTGTATGGTCATCATGGACCAGTCTTCCTAAAGACCCATCCTCCTTTGCAGCATCAATTCTAGACACCAATAAGCAAACAAAAGAAAAAGGAGACAGAATCAGAGTTTTTCACGTTCTGTCTGGTAATCTGTGTGTAAAACGTTGTGATATGCTGCAGAGCATCACTTATCGGGGTGATTCTCCGCCGCATCATCAAACTGCATGAACGTATTGTTGGTTATTGACAAGCTTAGTCAGCAACGGTCAAATGAATAATTTCAGTGTTCCACACTTTAACATGTGTTTATTAAGGTAACGTTAGGCAGGATAACAGGCAACTGGGACATTATTTTTCCAAAAATCCAATAGTGTTTTTATTTAAATGTAAATAAGAAGCTGCAGTCATTTCAAAAGTAATGTTGATGTATGTGCTTTAAGGGCCGGTAAACCATTCTGCTGAGATCTAAACATTTTTAAAGTCTCCTTAGGCTACAACCATATCGCCTGGTGTGACATTCACACATATTCTCAACCTGGGAAGCACTGTACAGTTTCAGGTACTCCTGAAGAGAACAGCCCTGATCCAGCTCATTAACTGATTATGGAGCCCTTCATTAGCTGGATCAGGTGCTACCGTTTGATACCGTTACCATTAGCCAGCTGCACTGGACTCAACAGTAGCAATTTAATTTATTCACTTTATACCTGAACACGGAGACAAACAACAGATAATCATTTACACCAGAGAAATACATAAAGAAAGCAAGAACAATCAGCTGAATTTGGCTTCTTGTCCAAATTTTCCAATCCACCTTAAATGATGCACATTTGCACAGGTGTCAGAATGCAACTGTGGTGTCGTTCAAGGTGGAACGGAAAATTTGAATGAGAAGCTGGTGAATAAGAACCCAACTTCAGCTTCATGTTTGCACTATTACATGTTCACAGACTGCACCAGAATATAAACTACAGTGATATGTTATTGAGCCAACTACTATTTGTAGATTAATAATTTTGTTCAACAAAGTAATATAAACTAGCTGGCATTGTCGCTAAGAGTATTAGCATTTATGCTAACCGCTAGACAGGTGTTTATTGCTCATATTGCGACTTTGGCCCAATCAGAAATACACAGTTACACTTATATATTAAAACCACTGACTGAATACAAACGATGGTAATCAGAAACGTCAGACTAACTAAATGAATTGTATGATAAAAAATTGCTGGCTAGCTATTTTAATTAGCTGGTGTTAACTACCTGTTTTTAGCAACTAATTCAACGTTACTGGTCTGTTACAGCAATATATATTTGGGCAAATCACAAATATACATTATTATAGTTCAAATGGTTTAATTAGATTAATTTAAGGAAGATTATTCCTGCTGTTCTCTGCTGCTCTGGTCTGTCTTA